GGGGGGTGGTGCACGCCTGCACGCAGGAAGGGAATCCCTGTTGCCACTGCCACTGTTCCTTGGTGACCCAGATATGGGGGAAGTCCCAGCCCCAAAGCCACTTCTGGCCCACTCCAGCCACAGACGTCAATGAGCCAGGCTCAGCCAGCACCAGCAACGGCAGTGGCACACAAGTTTCTCCTTCCAGCCCCAGCTCCATGCCTGGCTAACTCCCCACAGCGCCCTCTCCCCCCTGGTGTTTCCCGCTGTCCAGGAGCAGGTATAAGGAGGAACCCAAGTGTTGCTGCTGCACCTGGGTAAACTCAGCTCCCCGGACAGCTGCCTATGGCTGGAGCAGGGCAGAGGGGGGCTCTCAGGCTCCCCACTTGCTTGTGTCAACAGTGGTAGCAGGGGGTGTGTTCCTCCTCCTAGCAATTGCTCCTGGCTATCAGGAAAAACAGCAGGGGAGTGGAAAGAAGAAAGACAGGAAGCTCCTGTAGTAACCTGTATAGCTGCAACAGCTCTGGGGCTCCCTTCACAACTGGCAACAGAAGGGGAGAGTGTGTGCATCTGTGCATGCCCCCCACCTCTACTGATAGTTACTCTTCAGCTCTGGCACATCTTCTGGAAGTACTGTACAACCTTTTTATCTGGACAGACATTTAAGAAGCAAAGCTAAGTTGGGGTATTGGTTATGTGTCTCTGTTATACATCTTATTTTAGTATTGAGTCTGGTTTTATGAATTAATTTTTCCTCTTACTGTAATCTGCCCCAAGCCTTTGTTGGGAAGGGCAGTATATAAATCTAACATAAATGGCTTCAAAAATAAAATTCTCTCTTTGCCAACTACAAGTCTCATATACAGGTGTGCAATCTTCTGTATATCTAAGGAAGAGTAATGTTTACAAAACTAGAAAAAAAAAAGGCAGAACAATTAGAAGTTTTATCCATAAAACTTAAAAAGATTTAAGGAAGAACTTCTTCTCTGTAAGGGTCAACAGAATCTGGAACACACTCCCAGCAGAGGTGGTGCAGTCACCATCCTTGGAGGTGTTCAAGAGGAGGCTGGACAGGCACCTTGTTGAGCTTGTCTGAGCCCAATAACTTCCTGTCCATGGCAGGGGACTTGACTTGATGAACTTATAGGTCCCTTCCAGTTCTACAATATGAATGCCCTGGTACTAAAACTCCCCCCATTAAGAACTCACATCTAGCATTAAGAAACGTTATTACCTCAAAAAGATTACTGGATAAAGACAGTGGATACCTACAAAATAGGCTGTTAGCTGTCCCTGACAGTAGGAGGGGAAAATATAATGCGCCATTAGGTCAAAAGAGGTGGTGGTCTCATTAAAAAAGCAGATGACCCCACAGACACCCCTTCAAATGTCTTTTACACATACATTAACAGCAGCAGTTTTTCTAAAGCACACTAAAGAAAAGGGAACTACAGAATAAGACTTTTAAAAAATAGACCTCAAAGAAGCTTAGGAAACTGGTAGGTAGGTGGACATTTTTGGAAAGAAATCTAATGGATAAAAGGAGTGCAATGTAGTTAGCAGTTGCTGCCATCATAAATATACAACAGCTAAATAAATCAAGGACTTGTCCTGTATGAAGTAAACACTTGGAACACATTTGAAGGCATGCAGTAAACTTAAATGGATTTGATTTTATAAAGTTCTCATACTTTAAGAAGAATGTTATTCTGAAAATTAATTCTGAAACTCCACACTGCAAATTTATCTTACCCATCATTTATATAACTAAGACGCAGCATGCAGAAAAAAAAAATAAAATATTGGTTATGAAATGGGAAAACAAAATTCAACTTGCACTACAGTAAGACACAAAAACTGAAATTTTAATGGTAAGTTACATGTATGCTTTTGTTCTCTGCTTTAATCTGAAAAATCAAAGAGCTCTATCAAGTCTTAATGCCATGAAACACAAACAGGAACCTTTTTGAACAAGCAGTCTCTTTATGAAAAATGTATTAAATATACTAAAATGCTAACCTACACATACAAACACATCCAATAAAAGAAATCAAAAGGGAGGACTTGAGTTTAAGAAAAAATCCATGATTTTTATTTTTAGCGTTTATGCTTTTCACTCCTTTTTGAAAAGGAAGGGGAAAAAAAGTAACCATATACCTATCTTGTGTTCCAAACTCACCTTAGAAAAGCACTGTATATATGGTTCTCCTTCGGGCTTCAATCCGATTATCTGAAACACAGAAAGGAAAAAAAAAATTTGTTTATGGAAACCTGCCCTGTTTCAGTTATGTAAGCTGAATATATTTGCAGTGTGATAAATAGTATTATTGTGTAATGTGTATATATCTGAACATATTTATTAACTGTGCTCAGTTTATACACAAAGCAGTCACCAAATTCCAGCTCTGCAGCCCCTGTAAAATTCACGACCACATCAAAATTGCATTTTCCCCCCCCAACTAAAATAGTGCCAAAAGATTCTTGGAGGTTAAATCAGACCCTCCATTTCACTTATGCTGTGCCATTTACTGTAGATGGGCAGGCAAAAGTGCAACTGTTTATAACAGGGGTGGACAATTATTTTGGGCGGAGGGCCATTTACTGTTTTGGCAAGCTATGGAGGGCCACATGATAGGCAGCCAGGGGCAGATAAATATTAATTTTCTAATTTTTTTAGGGTCCCTGTGGGCTGGATAGAACGGCCTGGCAGGCCGCATCCGGCCCCGAGGACACATTTTGCCCACCCCTGGTTTAGAACTTAGTAAAGAATTCTGATGAAGCATGATGAGAAATTGAATTCTCTGTCTACTCTTTAAATTGTATTGGTCCTACAGAAGAAAAAACAGCAGCAGCAAAAAAAAAAAACAACAAAACAAAAGACCTGAAACCCCTATTTTCTTGTTAAAGAAAATAATTGAATACACACAAATTTGTTGAACGAGAGCCCCATTTTAAACAAGATTAGAAGCAATATCCAAAATACACAACTATTCCTCGAAATAGGTCTAATAGCCACAGTTACCAGGAACTCTTTACTTCAAATTATGCATGTAATGCTATAAGTTAATCCATGGGGTACATAAAAAACAACCAACTATGACATATGCATTCAATTACTGGCAAGTAAAATACCCGTTTACCTACCTACTTGGTATTCAACACAATTTAAGAGTTTAAGTATATACCATTACATATCTCCGACTCAAATGCATTTTAGTATTGTACACAAATTGTATTTTACTTTGAGCTTTTGTAAAGCCTGCTAGAAAGAACAGTGGGCATAGCACCATCCTGGGATTTCAGGAATTTTGACTATGGCAAACAAAGAATTAGGGATTTAAGAACTTCATAAGCACCTGTCCATCCTCCAATTCAGTTATTTTAGTAAATGACATGTACTTCATAATACAGAAATTGCAATAAACAGACAGGAGAGGGAATCTGGCCATTCTCAGCAGTAGGTTTTTGTTTTGTTCTTTTAAATATGTGGGGAAAGTAAAATTTAAAACTTGAGACAACCAGTCTATGCACTTACTCTATTCATTTTCACAAGTACACATGGAGTTCCTTTAGCATAGCCAAAATTCTCATCTTCAAGTCCAGAGCACGGTCCAAGCTGAGTACGATTAAATCGACATGCCTTTTTACCAAGATCCTCCTTCTGCTCAAACGGTTGTCCTGAAGTACATACTATGTTTCTGGATTGTTTTGAGTCATTATATGCTATTTAAAAAAAAATAAATAAAAATTATATATTCTACAGAAACAAAATGCCAAACAACAAGCTACTTCAAGGTCTTAAGACTTTATTAGCTTCAATGTACAAAACACTACATAGTTTCATAGTTGTTAGGGGCTGGAAGGGACCTTACAGATCATTGGGTCCAGCACCCATGCATGTGGGCAGGAAAGACTGCTGGGATCAGGTGACCCCAGCAAGATGGGTGTCAAGATGCATTTTGAAGATCACCAGGGTGGATGACTACCACCTCTGAGGGGAGCCTGTTCCAGACCCTCAGCACTCAACTACACATTGATGCCTACGCAGTTGGATGGGTAAAAACATTGGCTGATGGGGTGCACCCAGAGTAGTGGTGGACAGGTTGTACTCAACTTGGCAAGATGCAAGCAGTGGGGTACCCCAGGGCTCGGTCCTCAGGCCCGCACTGTTTAACATCTTCATCAGCGACTTGGACGAGGGGGTGGAAAGCACGCTGTCCAAGTTTGCTGATGACACTAAGATATGGGGCGAGGTGGACACACTTGAAGGGAGAGAGAGGCTGCAAATAGATTTAGACAGACTACAAAAGTGGGCAGACGAAAATCAGATGGGGTTCAGTGTAGACAAATGCAGGGTGCTGCACCTTGGGAGAAGGAATCCACAGCATACATACAGGCTGGGGAGTTCGCTTCTTGAAAGCACAGAGGCGGAAAGGGATCTTGTCATTATTGACTCCAAGATGAACATGAGTCGCCAATGCCAGACTGCAAGGTCAGCCATACCTTGTCATGCAACCAAAGGTGCATCTCAAGCCAGTCCAGAGAGGTGATACTCCCCCTCTCTGCGACTTTGGTCAGGCCGCATTTGGAGTACTGCGTCCAGTACTGGGCACCGTGGCCAGCCCGGAGAGGATTCAGAGGAGGGCCACCCACTTGGTGAGAGGGCAGCAGGACAGGCCCTATGAGGAGAGACCGAGGGACCTGAACCTGTTCAGCCTCAGCAAGAAGAGGCTGAGGGGGGACCTGGCGGCTGCCTACAAACTCATCAGGGGAGATCAACAAATAGGTAGAGCCCTTTTCTCCCCAGTACATTCAGGTCCCTCCTGACCCTAGCTACTATGAAACTTGAAAAAAGTTTTTCCCTTATGTCTAGCCTGAAGCGATCCTCAAATCAGCTTGTGGCCATTATTTCTTGTCCTCCCCTGCGAGGTCATAGTGAACAGATGCTCCCCCAGGCCCTGATGTATGCCCTTGATACATTTTTAGGCTGCCACCAAGTCCCCTCCGAGTCTTCTCTTCTCCAGGCTAAACAGTCCCAAGTCTTTCAGCCTCTCCTCATAGGACCTGGATTCTAGGCCTCTCATCATGCGTGTGGCCCTCTCGAGCTTCTCCACCATCGTTCCTGAAGTGCAGCATCCAGAACTGGACAGAGAACTCCACCTGCGACCTCACCAAGGCCAAGTAGAGAGGGAGGATGACACTCTTAGCCTTGCTTGAGATGCCTTGGTAGATGCATGCCAGTGTTTGATTAGCTCTGCCAGCTACAGCATCACATGGAGGCTCATGTTCATTTTGTTGTCTATCACAAAACCCAGGTCTCATTCAGATGTGGTGCTAGCAAGTGTAGCACTGCTGAGCCTGCAAGTGTGTTGTGGATTCTCTCTCCCCATATGGAGCACTTTACAGTTCTCTGTATTAGATGACATCTGGTTGAGGTCCGCCCACCTCATGAGCCAGCATATTTACTGCTGACTTAAAAGGCAAATTAAAATTTGGTTTTGTTAGTTCAATAGCAAATCTGAACTACAGTGGACTTCAAGAATAGCATATTACATTTGTTTCCAGAATATACTGCAACCTTTTTACAAGCTTTCTACCCTCTCTTTATATGCAAGATAGAAAAAGGGCTGCATGTAAAGTAGTGAAATTGAATAAGCATGCAATGGGGCTTCTCTGCCCCAAATTTCTAACAGTATAAGCAAAACAAGACTTTAAAATAAAAGAATACAGGTAACTTAACACTGATGTGGAGGGTGCCTCTAGAGAGTGGGGGATTAAAAATCAAAGTCTAGCACAACCACAGCCCTAATTTCCAACTGAGGAAACAAGGAAAAAAAACGTACTTTAAATCTTATTTATTCTCATTGCTTTCGACATTTTTGCAAGATAATGTTAGGATGAACAATTTTACATAAAGCACAGCCTAAAAAAACCAATATAAATTTATAAAGCTTTCAGCTTGAAAATAAGAAAATAATTTTTCAGATATGCACAGTAGCAAAACCTATCTTGAGGTGTATTGTTATTAACAGGCAGAGTCAGCAATTTACATGTATTAAGTTGGACTTCAAATTACTTCCCAAGCCCCTTCATTTCAAATCACAATATCAGTACTGTCAGATGTGCACTGAAAGCAGAAAAACCTAAGAGAAAGTAAAGTACATAAATCAGATGGTCACGAAAAGCTTATCTACAAATAAGCAATGTGCCATCTTCACCACCACTCAAAAAAACAGGTGTACCCTGAGCAGATGTAGTTTTGTCCCCATGTTATGGTACACGTCTTGCAACTACTGTCTTATAGAAGCAGATAAAATCACAAGATACAAAAAACTCTTCCTGGGACTTGACACCACTGGCGACAGAAAAATGCAGTTCTCATATGCTTTAGAAGACTAGCACAACTACTGGCAAAAAGGAGACACTGTAGAAAACAGAAATATACCAATAGCCTCTAACCTGCTAAATTGCTGAAAATATGAAATGCTCTAGGAGCAATATCTAAAATAGGTGACCATGGAACCAGATTTTGAAAGATGCATGTATTTCTGCATACAAATCACAGAAATTTACAAAAAGTTTCCCCGAGGTTGGATATATGCTATAGCTTTGCATGTCTTAATGTTGTCAGATGTGAACACAGTCTCAACCAGCACTTACTTCTTGCCATTAAAACATGTGACTGAATAGTTACATTTGCGCAAAGACACTGGGACCGGGCAGCTCAAAATAAAAGACTGCAAGATTCAAGCATAGGTCAAGACCTCCATGTTACGGAATCTGACTCAGAGTAACTGACAAAAGAGAAACTTAAGTGAGGAGGCCTAAATGGTAACCAAACTGTAAAAATAAAACAAAATAAAATAAACTACTGCTGCAGTTGATAAAGATTAAAGAAGCGTACAAACCAATCTGTCAAAGGTTACCCTGATAGCAAGGAAACACCATTATGAAAGTTTCATTCTAACACAAGGAAGAGGTATTAAAAAAGTCTTTAAGACCAGCAAGTCTCTCTCCTGGAACTATCATGTACTAGGAGAAAGATCCTTTTAGGACTCTTGGGTCCTTAGCCCAACCCTGACACAAAGAAGTCCCTCAAATTATTCCTCACTGGTAGGACACAGTATGCAGAATTCTTAGCACCAGGAGCTCCCTAGAAAAGCAATTCTTAACCAAGGTGCCATGAGATTCTTGTAAAGGTGCAATAAAATATTAGCACTGTTAGGTGTGCAAATACCTACACAATTCACTAGATAACCTAATAGACTTTAAAATAGGAATTCATAGTGTTAAAAATATTCTGACCTGTTGGGGTCTGAGGTCTCTACAGCAAAAAAGAACTGATCTATTTTTTGATTATGGAAAATTAAGGAGTAAGCCAACAACTACTATTTTCCTAGGCATGCCTTGAGTTTAAGCTTGAGAAAACATTGCCTCTGATAAACCAGCTGACTACCATCAAAGCTCCCTCTAAGGTGTGCGTGTGCGCAGCTGCGCACAACTTAAAGTGTGACCATGCACCAGGAGAGGTTGGGGCAGGAGCCTGGCGTGGGCTCCGCTGGCTCCGGGGAAGCGCTCCGCTCCCCCGCAACAGGGCTGGGGAGTGGAGCACTTCCGCAGAGCCCGCGCCTGCCCCAGCCTCTGGCCTCCAGGCCCCAGTGATAAGTGTTCCACACCAGATTGAGGTGGCGTGCTCACGGACCGCTACTCCTTAGAGGGAACATTGACTACCATCACAGAGAATGAGTCCAAGTTCTCAGTGACAAGAACTCAGCATAAGGTATCCCAAGATGCCATTCAACTCCTTTGGATTTCTTTCCTATAGCTACAAGTCCTTTGTCCATTTTTATAAATATATGCTGCCACAACAAGAGTACAGTTCAAAGCCTACAATTTTTGCCTCTGCTATCAAAGAAAAAGAAACCCATAGTGCAAAGGAGAACCTCTAGGGAGTCACAGAGCTAGAAATAGAGTTGAACCAAAATAAATTTGATAAAGATCTTTGCAAGAATTATCAAAACATCCTAACACCAGCTAATAAAAGAAAATATATTGTCTTTAAGTGCTGCAACCAATAGAGGTACTGCACACTACTGAGTTTCTGCTTGCTGCCTATGGTCAAGGAAGTGGAGACAGAACAGAGCCAACTATCAGCAAGTGAGAAGGGATGGGGAAAAAGGAATCAAGTAGGGGAAAAAAGATGTGAGTAAATGCAACTGATGAAGGGACAAAACAAAATGGGAAGAGTGGAAGAGTAAGTGATCACTATTACCTTCTTACAGAACTTATAGTACTAAGGGTGACAAACTATATGATCATTTATCTCAGTGCGCCCTTGTTACAAAGGCTAATAGCATACTGGACTGCATTGGTAGGTGTGCTGCCAGCAGGTCAAGGGAAGTGATTATTCCACTCCATTAGTTAGAATATATCGTTTAGAGAAGACAGAGGGGATTTAATAGCAGCCTTTAACTACCTGAAGTGGGGTTCCAAAGAGAATGAAACTAAACTGTTCTCAGTGGTGACAGATGACAGAACAAGAGGCAACAGTCTCAAGTTGCAGCAAGGGAAGTTAGGCTAGATATTAGGAAGATTTTTCTCACTAGGAGGGTAGTAAAAACACTGGAATAGGTTTACCCAGAGAGGTGGTGGAATCTCCATCCTTGGAAGTTTTCAAGACCTGGCTACACAAAACCTTGGCTGGGATGATCTAGTTAGTGATGGTCCCGAGTTGAGCAGGGGGTCAGGTTAGGCTAGATGACCTCCAGAGGTCCCTTCCAACCCTAATTTTATATGATTCTATATTTATATGTAAGCAATTGCTATCATAGAGACCACAGAAAAGTAAGACTGGAAGGGACCTCTGGAGGTCACATAGTTTAAATTCCTGACTGAGGCAGAATCAATCCCAACCAAACCAAATATTTGCCTAATGTATTGCTACAACTACCCAGGTAACCCTGTCACATAACCATAAAGCACATCATCTGAACTTGCCACAGGTAAAGCAGGGGGACAATAGTGGACAATGTCATCCTACTATAGGGCTTGTTAAAATATGGTCAAGCGATCTAAAGACCGCCATGTCCGGTGCTACAGAAGAAGGGAAAAAAGCCCTCAGTCAATGCCAATCTAACTAGGGGGTAAAATTCCTTCCTGGCACCAAATGTGGCCAGTATGTCTCACCCTTCTGCTCAGGTCAATCTAACTAGGAATCTCCAGGTTTTAGTCCTAGCAGGACACCCCATTTAAAATCCAGCCAAGCTCTGAATCAGGGGAAATACCCATAGTAGAGAGTAGGCGTAGTTACTCCCAGATTATCTCTGGCCAACGCTTATCCAATCTCTTCCTGAAGACTGGAAGTTGCGGAAACTCCATCCTTGGAGAAGGCAGTCTATTCAACTGCCTCAGTGAAGCAGCTTTTCCTGATAACCAACCTAAACATACTTTGTTGCAACTTCGAGCCACTGGTCCACATCCTCTCCAGCTCTCTACAGCAAAAGAGAAAAGGTGTTCTCCCTCATTTTTCTGGCACCCTTCAGTTATTTGAAGACGGCCATCATATTTCCTCTTAAGTAAGTGTAACATGATTATTTACTTCAGCCTCTCTCCATGTATAGCTTGCCTTCCAATCCCTTTTATTATTTTTGTCCTCTTCTGGACCCTAATTTCTCCACATTTTTTAAAATGTGTAGCCCAAAACTGCAAATTATTCTAGATTAGGACTACCGACTACCATGTAGAGAGGCACTATCACCCTCATGTCTTGCACTGAATATTCCTATTGATGTAGCCCCAAAATTTGATTTACACTTTTTGTGGCTGCATTACACTGCAAACTCATATCGAGTCTGTGATCCACTAAGACTCCTAGATCCTTTTCCATAGAGCTGTCACTCAGCCACATGCCACTTGTTCTGTATTTCTGTTGCAATTACCACAAGAATATTACACGATTGCAAATTAGACAAAGTGATCCATAAAACACATGGTTTTTATGAAGTTTTGAGAATTTCTGCTCCTGTGACAAATTGTTTTCTACCCTCTTTTTGTGAAATATGCTTCAAGCTTTGGTGCTGCTCAGAAGTTCCATCATGACTAAATTTATTCCAACCCCCCCCCCAAAAAAAACAAAGCACAGGACTAAAATATACAGAAGTTGTAATTTTTTTTTTTTTTTTGGTTTTAAGATGTAGTGGATGGAAAGAGCTCTGTGAAACACCGAGTCTGAAAAATTAAACTACAACAAGCATCATGCTGTAGGACAGGTGTTACATCTGTAACAGAAAAAATACCTTCCTCCCAGCAGAAAAAGCTAGCAAACAGATAGATGTTCAAAGGACTTTCTATGAAAGTGAACTGGCTCTGCTCCCCCCTTGCCCCCCGCAAAAAACAACAACAAAACCAAAACAAAACAACAATCACATCCAGCCAGGACAGTTTGAACAGCAATATGTTTATCTTCTGAAGCTCTCCAGTACTCTCAGTCCTCCACTCCCTCCCCCCTCCCCATTCACAGCTACAGTTCTAAGCATGTTCATAAAGCTTCACTATGGCCACACATGTCCTTGCGTGCAGTTAAACATCTGTATAAAAGTCCCCAGGAGTGTGATCTCCAAAAGATATGCCTAGTAAGACCAGGGGAATGGCCCTCTCACTTTTAGTTCAGTAACTTAGAAGTAAGGCTATTCCCTCAACAAGTGCAAAACCCAAGTTCTAAGGTCTCCCACAACAAGAGGGTCCATGAAGTTGCATCTTCTGCTTCCCTGCAATGTGCTTAGCCATTAGGCCCTGGGTTACACATTTCCCAAAGCACCTTCCCGCTGTCCCTTTAAAGCTGGTCCACTGGGCAGGATGAAAACAAGCCAGAGGGAACATGTCTTGAGTGAGATGTGCACTGTCCTGCAAGAAAGTGGCCCAGATTCTCACCCCTGTTCCTGTCAAATGGCTTTTCTGCACTTTACTTTCAATACTCATAGAATAAAATGAATCAACAGCAGTGGGCTGGGTGCTAAACCTTTTGGGTGCTTGCTCAGTCTCCTGCCCCACTTTAGAGCATGGACTTGAAGTATGGGCACATACACATTTGGCCAAGTTAAAAGACTTTGAAAATTAGTTTGCACGTGCTCTACTGAGATGTCTCAGATTTAAGTGATTAAAGGCCCCACAGATTGTGTTTGCACTGAGCATCATAATACAGGGCAGAACAGAACTTTCCTTGCACTTGCAGCTGTGGGTTATGACAAATCCCAACCTGGGAAAATAAAACTGAAAACAAGAAACTTGTCTTTATTATGGTCTCAGAAGGCCCTGGTGACCCACAAAGCACGAAAGCAGCAGCAACCCAAGTCAGCTGCAGAGAGGACAAAAAAAGGGAGAAGGAAGAGAAGCAGCTGAGACAGTAGGACCCGAGGCAAGGAAGATGCAAGTGACTGGGAGTTAGAGTATGGAAGGCACTGGGACAGAGACCAGGAAGGGAAATGGGAAGAGAGGGTAGTGAAACAGTACTGCTCCATTGCAGAGACAAAGATCATATAAGGCAAGAAGCAGGTAGGGTAGGAATGGGGAGAAGCAGCATGGTGCTCTCCAGTGATAAGCCAGAACCCTTGCACTGATTGCCCAGAAACTGAGACAAAATGAAAGGGCAAAAGTGGGTGCCAACACTGAGGTAAAAGGGGGGCGGGGGACAACAGGACTACATAGATGAAGACAAGAGAAAATGGGATGAGGAGTAAAGAGTGGGGAAAAAGATAAGACTTGGGATAAGGGAAGGTTAGCAAGGACCCGCTCATTTACATGCAAAAATGGTCTACTCTGAGAACAAATTAAGTAGTATATTGAAAAGACTTAAGAGGAACTCCAGCTTCATTTGTGGCAGAAGCAGGAGAGGGGAGTTTGGTCTTAGGCACTTCAAACTGGGCACACAGAATTAGCAGCTATTTGTAACATCGATGTCTGTATAGCTACTCTCCATCTGCAACCAAAGTACCAAAGTTTCATTTGACAGGTATGTTGCAAAAATAAAAAAAATAATACAGTATTTGTAAATCGATACCGTGACAAATAATACAGACTATCTTCAAAGGGGGGGGGGAAAAAAACCAGCTCACTTCAGAACATGGAACAAGAGCATCAAAGTAGTGTTTATTAAGTGAGCGCTGCCCTCCTCCTGTGCACTGAAGAAAACAGTCATCCTGTGACAAAAACATTATTAAGTCATGTAATTCAATAAAGTGTCAAGATGTGTTTTGTGCCCATTATATCTTTGCTATGTCATGAAGTGAGTGCTTGACTTAGCAGCCTTTACTTTTTTTCAACTTAAGCTCTACTCGTATGCCCATATTACCTAAAAAACAGAAACCAGTGCAGTCAATACCTTGAACAAGCTTACAGTAACTGCCCTTTCTTTATCCACCTCACCTGACATTACCTTCCCTCACCATGTTCCAACTTTGATTGCAATTTTGTGTCAAGATTTATATGCCTATATCATGTACCACTGTGACACTGAAATAATGTGTACTACTTATGCAGTGTTTGTACACACCTATTTTTTTTAAACCAGCTTAAACTCACTTTTGAATTCTTGTTGCTATATCAGGCAATTTCTCCCTTGCTTGTGCAACCATAGATTTTTCTTTTATTGAAACTGAAAAAGGTGATATGAAATTCAGATATTTGGAAGCCTTATTTTCAAAATCACAAGTGACATGTGATCAGTGCACAAAGTAGGCCACCAGAATTCAAAACATTTGGATTCTATTACTAGCTTGCTACTGGGATACTTGGACAAGTCACCCCTCTTTGTTACTTAGCTTTCTCATCTGTAGAAGGGAATAATGATACTTATTTCCTTTGTAAAGCACTTGGATTTTATTGATAAATACCACCAAAATCTATTAGAAGCACATAGTAACAGTCCAAGAACTAACTTCAAAACAAAACTTACCTAACTTTGTAGCAGACAAAAGGAAAATAGGTTTTACAGTAAGTATGCCCTAAAAGAAGAATATTTTGAGCAGCTTTACTGTAGTTACAAATGTTTTAATTAAAACATTAAACAACAATAGAACATTTGCACTTACATGCAAGAAAATTTCTAAGTGAAGCAGTGTACGTCTCATACGACCGAGAGTCAGACTTGTTAAAAGCAAATTCCAATGCAGTGACTGGCTTTGGTGAAATCATAAGTCCTTGAGAGAGAAAAAAGTGCAAGTAAGGAACTGAACAACTTTTCCCCTGACCTTTTTCCCCTGATACTTTTTAGAAAAGTATTTCTCAAATGATGAGTAGGATATACACTGGGATAATCCTTGATTACATGTCCTTAATTATTTTAATTACATAGGCATATATTGAAGGCAAAACAACAGACAGATATAGCAAATTGAGTTTTAAATGCTATCTAGCTATAATTTGTACAAAATATCAAAAAAAACCCAGAAGAAACATAACACTAAAATATTCAGTTAAAACACGCTATCAAAACCCAAATGATTGAACAGCAAAATTAGCAACTTAATTACTTGAAGCTTCCATTTAATAAGTTTATTGATTCCAGTTCGACATTGCGCTTCCCATTTCAAACACAAGTTTACCATGTATTCTTAGTGTAAATCACATTTTCAGTTTTACATAATAAAAACAAGTTCAACAAAACAGCCCACGATACACCATTCATGCCTTCAGTTTCTTTGCAGCAATGTGGCAACAAATCTGGCCATTCTTGTATACTCTTAATTCCATTATAAATTTGTTTCAAAGTAATGAGACAATTTTATTTTCCAGTTACTTCCTTTCTATGTTTGCAATATGCCAGTTTTAAAAGAAGTGGCTCAAAGCTGCAAACATTTAAAGCATGCTGTAATGGAAAAAGCTTTTTTTTTTTTTTTTTTTTTTTTTAAAACATACAAATTTTCATCTCAACAACAATTTTTCGTGTCTCTCTCTATCATGCATGGAGGTGCCTTAAAAGGTTCTCCAGCCCAACCTGAAAAAGCTAAGTGTTTCTTTCTGCCCTCTTACCACACACCAGAAGAAGTGCAGATGGCAGGGCTATTTCTTTAGTAGAACTAAAACATCTGATTTGTTGAGAAGAGTGTACTTTTTATTCACACTGTTTAAAGTTATTGTTTTGAGAAGGAATAAAAAATTGTTAAGAATTCATTATCCACTCACCCCATCTTTAGTTAAAGCTGAGAAAGGCCACACATCTGAAACACCCAAAAAGTTATTGGTAAAATGAAGAAACACTACACTAGACATTCCTGGTATTTGGGGGGTAGAGGGAACTCGTCCCAATTTTTTTGTAGGCCTCTTTATACAATATAAAAAGCAAAGAGGAACAGAAAAAAAAATCCTCCCCTCATCTGTAAATATAAAATATATATGTATACTACAAAGTTATTAAATAATTAAAAGATTTTTCAGAAATCACATAGAAAGTGCAACTAGAGAGAGAAACCTACCAAAGAACCACTTAATTGCCTGGAGGAACCTTGGGAAGGCACAGAAATTGGTACAGTGTAATTTGTTAAAAACAGAGAAAGTACTTACTTAGACAAGTTTTCTGACAAAAAATCTCCTTTGGATTTCATACTGCCCTTTTTTAAATGCACTTTGATTCAGTAATTTTTCTTAAGGCATTCACAAACGCACAGCTTGTGACCCCAGCACACTTTCCTGCCTAGGCAGGGGCGCAGACACCATGATCTGTTGAGGTCCCTTCTGACCCTAGCATCTATGAAACCTCTGAGCCCAGTACCCAATTTATTTTCTATCTGAATGCCAGCAGGACCAAATATAGGTCTACAGTCAGAATGGGATTTGTTGTTTGATAAACTGCCTTCTGCTTCACCGTTACCCTTTAACCTCCACAATGAATCAGGATGCCAAGAGATGTTATAAAGTTAACAAGACCCAAAAAGGACAGTCACATGTCAGAAGGAGTGCTAGATAGAGAAGCTGCATCCCAAGGACTTGCATAAAAACTCCCGAGTGCGTCTTGACTGCTATAAAGTGTACATCACGAGGGTGGCTGTCAAGTTCTCCAACCCACAACTACCACTTATCCATCCACATTTATCCTGTAGTGACTACTCCTCACAGATCAGGCATCTTCATGTCTATATCTAGTTATACCTATATACTATACATAAATACAAAGATGCCCAAGCTGCAAGGAGTAGTCATATAAAATTATGTTTATATTTGTCTAATTTTATTTTATTTATTCATTGGGGGCCTTTAAGAGGAGGCTGGATAGGCATCTGGCTAGGTTCATCTGACTCCAGCAACCTTTCCTGCCTAGGCAGGGGGTTGGACTCTATGATCTGTTGAGGTCCCTTCCGGACCTAGCATCTATGAATCTATGAAAAAAAATTATATAAACATCAGGGCCTAAGACAAAATTACATATGGCTAAGAGTGCCTGGATGAGAACCAAACATAAGCTAGGAGGGAGGGGCTGACTTAAAACAAGAATTTGTCTCAAGACCTGACATTTAGGAGAGCTGGGGGGAGGGGGGGGTGGCATGGCAGGCTAAGGCAAGCTAATGTAAATGTCTTAATGCAATGTAGTAAGGTTTAGGCTGAAAGGCAGTTTAGATATAGCCTCAGAGAACAGGACAGCAAGCTTCCTTCCAGACATAACTAGCCAAAAAACCTGTGTGATGGCAAATTTGGCTCCATGAGAGCAGTTTGGGGAGAATATTCAACAGGGAGCTCACCTAACTTGTAACAAGCCAAACTTCATGATCTGTTATTACTTCCAAATAGTAGATAAGCCAGATTTTTACAGTTGTCATGAACCGACTAGATGTCACATTCATTTTTATTTGACAGATATTGCTACATCCCAATGCACAATATAAATTAAATGATAATTAGAAGTCAGTTTGATTTTCGTAACATGGAAAATAAAACCCTTGACCTACACCATCCAAGTTTAGCGCATGGAATTTTATAAAATTAACATTTTCAGCCAGGAACATGATGTGCTGTACTGTGATTGGAAAAAGTGACAGTTTCATTTATATCTTTAATTATTCATAAAAAATGAATTGCTGTAAGAAACTTTTATTGCTATAAGTTAGAAAAGTATGTGAAATAAATTAAAATTAACATACCTGGTAAAACTTTGGGTACAACCTTAAAAGGCAAGTTTCATTGTTCAAAGAAAATAGGCACAGGCACAGACAAAGTGTCCTAAATAGCAAAAAAATAAGAGGCATGCAATGGGACCCATTTAAAAAATTTACCTTCCTTTATGCCCGTCCCAAAGGAAAAAAAATTCACAAAATGTTGGGATTATCACTATCACCACAGTATTCCATCAGAATATGGAACAGAATCTATGGTAAAAAAGCAAAGGCAGGAAGAGAAAGTTGTTCCAAAAAGACAACTCGCACTAGGTGGAGTGGATTTAGATCAGGGATGGGCAAAATACAGTCCGTGGGCTTCATCCAGCTGTCTGGATCTAGGTCTAGGCTTGGGGACAGCCCAGGCTGTGGCACATGCAGCTGGTCCTGTGCCCCCAGGCACATACGGCAGAGCTAGGGCAGCGCAGCTACTGGACTCGCTTTGTCTGCCCCAGTGGCAGCAGCAGCTCCTTCTGGCGGCTGCTACTGCCAGACCACGCCCTGTTGCCTGGGCACCTAGACCCGTCTGCCCTGCACCTGCCACTGGGGGCGGGACCCGTGTGGGTAGGGCATACTCGGTCGGGCGGATGGGATGGGGCTGTGGGCAGGCTGAGAGTAGTGTCCAGGAACAGGACAGCAGGACAGGGCCAAGATCATGGGGTGGGAACAGCATGGGGCTGGAGGCTGGGGCCCAGGGCCGAGTCACAAACTGGTCCCTGTACATCCCTGCGACAGGCGCTGGTTCCCTGTAAAGCAGTGTGCAGGGCACAGATCACGGCTCTGCCCTGGCCTCACGCTGTCAGGGCCCTATGCTCCCAGCCTAGGCCCTGCCCACCCATGGCCCCAACCCAGCTGCCTGGCCAAGCATGGAGCAGAGCCACTTAGGGAGTTTAGGTGAGCTACTGCAGGGGGAGGGGAATGGAGAGGTGGGTGCTGACCCAGCCTGCAACAGCTCATCAAAATACCCTAAGTGGCCCTTGAGCCCAAATAATTGCCCACTCCTGTATTTTTGAAAACCATCTAAAACATGTCATTTTTCCATCTTAAAACTATAGCATGTTCCAAAGAACTCTTTACCCCCTTACTAAAAGAGTGATAAAGGTGGGCCCCATATCTAACCAAACAGCTGTTTAGAACTCAAAACGCCCATCTATCTTGTGTCTTGGCCCTCAGACCTCAATATTACTCACAGACTAGCTCTACAGTCTAGATCAAATGCAATTATAAAATCACATACAACTGCAGCTAGCCTACATAGAGCTTGGACACTGCTAAGCACTTCTGATAAGAGTGAGCTCATGATTTTCAAAAGTTTCATATTAATCAAACAAGAACTAAACCTAGCTCAGGATGCAATTTTCTAAAGGACCACCCCCATCCCCACCCCCTCATACATAAACCCATCTGACTGCTTGCAATGTTTGTGGTAAGGTGGTTCAAGATTTTAAATCACATATACATTCTTCAGAAATTGTGCCTACAAGTCACATTAAGCTTCTTTGGCACAGAGAGAATATATAGTTTATAGCCACCTTCATGGGCAAATCAGGCTGCTACTTAAAACAAAGCAAGGTATTTTCATGACATATTCCACTTTAGTAAAATTCCCTTAGATTGAAGTTATTCTTATGTATATAACTCTGTATCACTCTATAACAGTTTGCATACTATTTTTCTAAATTAATTTATTTGAACCTCTACAGCATTAGAAATGAAAGACTAAAAATTCAGGCTGAATGGCCAAACAACATACCCAAAATTCTCTGCTCTGTTCTCAAGAGCAAAACTCTGAGACAGATGTCAAACTCAATACGTTATCCATAAGAGTTTTATTTTTCCAACAATAAACTGTTATTCCCACTATTAATTTAAAAAGCTGGTTCTTTTGAAGTACTAAAGGGCACTTGGTTTTTCACAAGCTGCACCCTGTTGTGTATAGCATCCCATTTTACAGTATCATTAGATACAGAGATAATTTCTACCCAATAAGCTCTTCTATAGCACTTTTTCAACTGTAGATTTCAGAGTGCTTTATGTAGGCAGTGAGCATCATTATCACCATTTACAGATAGAGGTGAACTGACCTTGAGCAAAGACACTTAACAGGCCAAAGGTTAGTAAATGGTGCCAAAGGCTACTGAATGAGCTTATACTGCAAGTCTACAATAAGAGAACAGCACATTCACTGTCAGAGTCCTTCTTTAAAGCTTAAGCAATTTAACTGGAGCATGTACTCAATCCTTAACATCGATCAGAAAACTTCATTCATCTAATCCTAATTTAAAATCCAAACACAGAGCTAAAAACATAGTTACCTGGACTGGAAATCCGATCACGATATTTGGGAATATCACTGCTCAGCGTCTGAAGCATAACCCACATTGTGAATGTAAAGAGTGCTGCCAGGAAGCCATAAAATACCAAGTAAAACAACAAGATTAAACCTGTAAAAGTTAAAAGAATTCAAAATCAACAAAATGTCTCTATTAAATTTAAACTAGATTCTAATTTTATTTTTGACAATTAGGACGAGAAGCCAAGGACTATAATCTGCATTGGAATCAAATTCCACGCATTCTTCTTACACACACACACACACACACAGTTAGTTCTTTGCTCATGAATCAGTAAAGAAACAAACTGAACTTAAGGAAGTCTCTTAGTATAATCATCATCATCATCCCACACAAGACAATATGCTGAACAATACGATGCAGTTTTTGCAAACAATATTTTCTGATGTACTACAGCAGTTCTTTCTGGAAGTCAGCTGTACTTGCCAAGTACAGTGTGTACATTAGTGCAACAGAGCTAGTACACTAGGTGCATCTAGAATCACTACCAGCATAGTCATGTATGAAGTAGTTAGAGGTACACTGATATAAAATCAGGCACATATCAGATCGACACTGACAAAAGGAAAATTAACATTATGAGCAATCAGCTTTTTTTGGCTGGCATAGCTGATAATGTCACCACTAAATGCTGCATGCATGCGCACAGTTGCAGCATGCACAGAGTCAGGAATGAAGCCAGGCAACTTGAAGAGTAGCGCTCAGCCAGTAAGCCTGCGGCACAGAAGAGGGGTGTGTGTGTGTGTGGTGGTGGGGGGCCCACAATGAGGGAAGGGACCGGGGCAGGGCTAAATGTTGCCCAGCCAGGGCAGTGGATGTGACCCCACTGGAACCGGCTCATCCCGGCAGCATGGGGGGAGGGGGTGGCTGTTCACTGCGCACACCCCTGGGGGAGGCATGGGGGGCATGTGCCCCCTCAGACTTGTGTGTGGGGCAAGGGTGGGCTGCCTGCTGTGGGCTCAGGGCCAGGGGCTACGCCAGCCTCTTCCCAGCAGGGGGGCTGAGCCAGGGCTGTGCTTAGAGTTGGTGACAACGCTGGGAGGGGGGCTACAGCAAATTTTGGGGTGGCTGTAGCCCACCCTGTAGCCATCCCTCCAAGCACCGCCATTTCAATTTAGGGAGAACTAAACTGAATTAAACCCCCGTGGCAAGTACAAGTAGCCATAGTGTCAGTTGGCTTGTAACGCAAGTTTTCACTGTGACGGGCATGTTTTGCTCCCTACTCAGCTGGAGCAGTAGGATGCAACCCCACATGCAGGCGCATGTGCTTGCAGCAGTAAAAAAGGTACCGGCATGAATTTGTCCTGCTACTTTCTGCTGCAGCACACACCCCTGCACGTGTTTTGGTGTGTGGCAAACTGCCCTTTTCCCATTCCTCCTGGCTCCCCGCATCCTTGAGGAGCCCGGGGGACAACTAAATCAATGGAGATTCTCTGGCTGGCAGCCAGAGTGTCTCCTGGGAAGACCAAGCCTCCGTATCTGCTAGCACATGCTCCTTTTGCATGTGCCATGCTGCTTTTTCTTTTTTTTACTACTTGGACGAGAAATTACCCCTGTGCTGCAAATCTGCAGTGTGTGGCACATTTTAACATATTCTAGGTGTAAAGTTTGTGGTGCCACAAACCGCACATGCCTGCACGTCTAGATGCGGCTGGGGAGTCCAGCAAGCTAGAATCATAGGGTGTTTTGCTTCCACTCCCTCCCCCGGGAGACTTTTGCTTGCTGGACTCTACTGCTTTAACTGAGCACGGAGCAGAATATGCCCCCGTCACAATTCCCATACTGCAGCATGGTGATGGACTGGCTCTGGGCAGTGTGGATCAGCCAGTCAGGTCTGCCCTGTACACTGCTGCCATCTGTCTCCAGGCAAACTAATGGAGCCTGCAGAGCACCCCAGGATGTGCGCACAGTAAGGGTGCAGCAATAAAGATTTTCTGGACCGATACTGATGGCCAATTATTAACAAGCCA